TAGTTTTCTTTCTTTCAAAATCTAAATATAATCATGCCATGTCTGGACATAATCGATTAAGGGCAAGGTCACACCATACTTGATCACCAGTTGATATACAAACAAAAGTTAATTTTATGTCACGAATTTTAAACAATTGGTCACATTTTGTTATACATATTATTATATATAATTATGTTGTATTTAAACTATATTACTTAGACAGAAGGTTTAATATTCTATAACTTAATATTGGATATTTGATGCTACAAATTGTTACATGTCATCTTAATTCCATTGTTGTAAATGTAAACCTTATGTATCGGACAATAATGTCGATAGTCGATTGTTAGTGCGGTAATCAGAACTCTTTCTGGCAGCATTGTTTAGTATTGAATGCGTGAACATGCAATGTCACTGAACAAAGATGCATTCGAAGAGGACGGTGGTACGATGTCTTGTCAAGCATTGTTTAAGAAATTTAACTGCAGGTTAGTTTACATACTATTTTATTATAATAAATAACTTGATCATTAACAATCTAAAGACCCAAAGGTCTTGTATACTCGTATTGTACATATTATGCATGTATACTTACCAAAAATTATATTTAAAGATAAGTACATTTTCAACCGACTTCAAAAAGAAGGAGGTTGTCAATTCGGTTGTATTTTTTATGTCTCTTACCTCCTAACTCTGTCAATTCTAAACCGGCTCAAAAAATCTTTTTTACCTGAAAGGACATGCTTATAGATTGGTCCCATAAATTTTTTACTAAAATCCTTTCAGTAATTTAGTTTTTAATTAATTTAAATGAGCGGTTTTTTCAGAATTAAAGTTGAATTTTTGTGGCATCTTTAATTATGTTAGACTAAAAAGAAATACCGATTGGAAGTCGTGGCAAAACTAGTTATTTTGATTTAAAAAGCTAATTACTATACAAATTTTAATGAAAGTGCCTAAAGATTAAGTTATAAAGAAAATGATAAGGTACACAAATGGACTTATCCCTTGAAGAGATTTCTTCCACTCAACCCGAAAAAAATCTATAGGGTTTGTGTGTAAAGCGTAATATATAATGCAAATATGATTAATATGAATTTTTGTTTTTGTATGTATATATATAAAACTTGCTTGGAAATGTGAGCATTGTATTGACAATCTTCTTAGAGATAAATCAAAATTCAGGCCGTACTGGCCAGATACATGCGGGCAGCGGCCAGCAAAAGTTGTATGAAAATCCGTGATTTCATACAACTTTTTTCCGCGTGAAATTCCGCGTGAAAAATTATTATTGTTCGTTATTCGTCATTGAACTTAAAAAGTAAAATTGTGTTTTTGTATTCCGCGCATTATTTGAGAAAAGTACTATACAAGCCTTGGCCACAACTAGGCATTGATGGACTCACGTATGTGTGCCTCGGCTACGCCTCGGTCCACATTTGCACGTTCGTCCATCAATGCCTCAGTTGCGGGGGGAAAGGGATTATTAGTAATGGAGACTTAGAATCCCATTGCTAGCAATATACCCAACCAGGTCGACCTCCTCGCGGTTCCCCCTGGAAACTATCATGGTTAATTCCTGATGAATTCATCATGATGGGCTAACTGGCCTGTTTTCATTCTCATCTATCACCCTCCACTGGTGCTCCGCCAGCGTATCCCGTTAGCGCAGGCGGGGTTACCATACCATTTTCACCCATCAAAAAAAAAAAAAAAAAAAAAAAATGCCTCAGTTGCTGGTCGCTGCAGTAATATACTATATACAAAAAAAAATATTAATACAGACCTGGAATCTATATATTACGAGATTTATTTTGTTGCAAATGAGTACTCAATTTCTTTTTTGAAAGCAAATTAAAATATACATATATTTTCTTTTTGTTTGATATAATTCTGATTACCATAAAGTACATTAATATTTTTCAGCTTAAACACTTGTAAATCAAGTTAATTCACATACAGTTAACTGGAGTTTGTGTCACTTGTCGTCATTGTCGCCTAAGGCCGCCTACTAACAACTTTTTTGTATCGAATGAAAGGCTCACACTTGTCCCAAATGATGCCATTTCGTCTAATAGTCACCGGCCACTATAAGAAGAGCTATCATTACGCAAACTCTGTAGGGATCGAGTTTCAAATATAATTGGCCGTTAATTTATTATCATTAACACTTTGCCTTCACCTACATTGACATGCAAGTGTATCAGGATTGATATATCAGTAGCTAGTTCGTAATGGGATGTAATAGTCCCATTGCTAGCAATGTATCCAATCAGGTCGACCTCCACGCTGTTCCCCCCGGCAACCATTGTGATTAAATCTTGCTAAATTCGCCACAACGGGCTAACTAACCTGCATTCATCCTCACCTATCATCTCTCACTTGTACCCCGCCAGTTTATATCGATAGTGCAGGCGGGATTACTATGCCATTTCCATCCAAAAAAAAAGTCTGAAATACTTTCCCAAGAGACTACAGCATGGGGTTCTTCAAAAAGGGGGTAAAGAGGTTTCTTCAGGGTCAGCAACGTGCGCGTAATATCTCTGGTATTGCAGGCGTTCATAGGCTACGGTAACCGCTTACCATCAGGTGGGCCGTATGCTTGTTTACCACCTCAGTGGTATAAAAAAAAATATGATACTAGAAGGTTTTTATAATGAGTCAACTGACATGCCTTCATGCTCACTGGTACGCAACTAAAGTAAATCTACAATAAACTGTAAATTTACCATTACCTTTGGTATCCCAATAGTGAAGGGTAATTAGCTCTCAATATTTAGGAAAACAATATTCCCTAGCATAAATAAAAAACTACAGTATGGCAAGCTATAACTTAGTGTCCACTAATATTATTTTTGAAAATCTTGCACAAAATTTACTACTTTATATATAGTTTTTTTTTTTTTTTTAAGTAAATATTAGGTTTAAAGCTTTTATTAAAACTTATGTACTCTAAAGTTATGTACACTAAACATTAATAGTTGTAGCACTTCAGCTGCCCGCTAACAACATGTTTTCTAACTGCATTGGGTTGACTGGAGATCTCTGTCAGAGATAAGTCCACCCTTGCTCACAATATTTATAAATGCATTCACAATGTAATTTACAAGTGCAATAAAGAATATATATAAAAACACTTATTAAAAATAACTCTATTACATACTAAACGATTACTTGAATGACAAATGTGCACGGTGTTAGTCGATCAACCGTGAAGCAGTTGTGTTTGCATGGCTGTGTTTCGGTTTGAAGGGTGGGATATGGCGTGAATTTACTGGGTACAGAGGAATAACACCCGAGTCCTGAGGAATGGCAACGCATGGGGGGTATCATGGGCGAAACAGTATACTCTGTTATGTCCATGTTACTGCTCATGTCTATAGGCGACGGTTACCACTTTCCATCAGGTGGGCCGTCAGCTTGTTTGCTATTCTAAGTTGTATAAAAAAAAATATGCACGGGCTTTTAACGACCATGCAGTATTAGACATAGTACATTTAAATAAAAACACATAATGTTAACAGAGATTTCAAAGAGTAACTGTGGAGTTTCTTGTGGCCTCTTCTCGACACACAAACCCTGCATTAGATTAAAGAAAAATGACGATTTAAAAGTGCTTGTATGAGTAACAAGTCTGTTTGAATAAAGACGATTTGAATTTGAACAATAATATTAAAAATATTTAGCTAATTATGAATAGATAGATGAATTTATTTAGTTACAACCGTCTGTTTGTCACTGAACATGCAATCTTGACCCTACAGCGATAAGGCGGTCACTCCAAGGGCAAATAAATTACGTACTACATACGTATATACTGTTTGTTTGTTTATTTAGAAAAATATTAAATTTTTATGATGATGATTATGATGGTGATGATGTCTTATAGGTGATGATATCTTATATACTGATCAAACAACGAATATGTTAAAAAGTCTGTTCTCTAAAAATATATTTTGGTGAGTGCGTTGGTAAATCGGTAAAGTTGACCAAAAATATGTATATATTCGTACATATATTATAAGTAAATATATATTGGACATACATATTGGGCTTTTAACATATATCCGACCGATTATATGTTTATCCCTTATTTCAGACACAATGTACATTGTTTTTTTTATTAATAAATGACTAATAATAAGGGCGATATTGAAATGAGTGATAATATAGGAATATCGGAGGGAAAGGGATTGTTAGTAATGGAGACTGAGAATCCCATTGCTAGCAATATACCCAACCAGGTCGACCTCCTCGCGGTTCCCCCTGGAAACTATCATGGTTAATTCCTGATGAATTCATCATGATGGGCTAACTGGCCTGTTTTCATTCTCATCTATCACCCTTCACTGGTGCTCCGCCAGCGTATCCCGTTAGCGCAGGCGGGGTTACCATACCATTTTCACCCATAAAAAAAAATATAGAAATATCTATATATATATTAGTTACAATATATTTATACTGTTCCAATAATAACTATGTTAAAAGTCTGTTATCCAAAAAATAATATTGGATAATAGATTTTTAACGTATTTGAAAATAGATATCCGAGCGATATAGGCGATATCGAATCTATATATTGAGGAACTCAATAATATAGATATCGGATCGGTACCCATATTAACCATGCTTAATGCCTTACTGTTTACTCCTCAACAGAAACATAGGGCTTGTAGAACAGCTTTCTGTTTTGAAAACTTAATAGGCAACTTTCGATACAGTTTTTAATACTACTATGGTTGCTAACAAGCATACGGCCCGTCTAATGGGAAATGGAGGTATCGTAGCCTATGGACGCCTGTAACATCAGGTACATCTTTTCAACAGGTACAAATATGGTGTTCCGTTGCTTATTTAAAACAAATCTGATATTATATTGCATAAGAAATAGTCATAATTATCAAACAGTGCCTCAATTTCATTATAGGTATTACACCACTCGTTTGCTTGGGCACCTTTGTCCCATTTGTGTTTCTACCGTGAAGCAATTGTGTTTGTTAATATTATTTCATTGTTACCTTATTCCCTTTGGCCGCAACAGAATATCAGTGTTTTGCTCTTTTGAGAGCAAAGCAATAAATTAAGTTGTAACCATTCTGTGTTGTTACGAGAATGACACACACACAAAAAAAAAAAAAGTGTTTGGCTTTTATGTATTTTATTTTATGTTTTTATATATTTCTCTTATCACGCTTTTTATGTATATCTATGTCTGTTGTGATTTATGCGCTGTAATGCAAATAAATATATATATATATATATATATATATATATATATATATATATATATATATATATATATATATATATATATATATTTATTTAGAAAGGTAAACAAATAATAAATTGTTTAATGACAAAGTAAAAATAACTTAATTCTACTCCTCTATTAAGTTTCTTTTTAAAAGGCCGACAGCACACCTGCTATGCCACTGCTGTTGCGGGTGATCATAGGCAGCGACGGTAGTCACGGGTGAACCGCATGCTCGTTTACCTCCTGTGTTATATAAAAATGTACTTTATTATTAGCTACCTATCTCTCTCTATCAAACACGCTAACAGTTCCAAATAATAAACAGGTACATAAATCATTTTAATACGTAAATCGTAAAATCAATGGACAAATACTAGTCAATAATTATAACGTAAACAATCATTATCAATACGCAATACGTTTTAAACCTTCAATAAACAGTAACATAATCATTAGTATACGATAACTCTTTTAACCACACAAATGAGTTATAATAAATATATTATTTTGTTCTTATTCATGTATAAATCAAGTAATGGAAAGATTAATTTAAATATAAAAGTAGCTTCTAATGAGAATGACATAAATATAGCATTCTTTGGACACGATAATAAATTGGTTGGTGACGCCGAAGTAAATCTATTCAATATAACGAAAGACAATCTTAATAAAGGACTCAGAGTTGAATTGGGGAAAGTGCCAGACGATGTTTTCCTAACAGATCCCACGCCTTATTATAATCTTTACGAGAAATACGATTGGCCTGAAGTGAAACGTCAAGTGTACGTGAAAAATATTAGTGTTTTGTATGTTACAAACGAAGAAATACTGATAAGTTCGCATGAACATGTCAACAACTCGACAGATACAGTTAAATCTAGCAAAGAAATGATTCGTAATGTAGAAGCTACAATAGCCTCCACGTGGTCTAATGAAGGAATGCCAAAAGATAACATTTTGTACGACATAAATATTGATTTCCGTACAAAACAATACAAATACGAAAACAAATGGAGAGACGATGCTCTTCGGAGTGTTTTTATACCTTTTGGTGTAGCTAAAAAGGGTTATATTGATTTAAAATCGGGAAGAACTATAGTTAAACACCTGAGGGGAAAGAGAACTTACATAGTTTTGGAAGTCGTTTTCTCTGCACAACTTATTGGTAGTGTAATAGCTGATTTCGCTCAATTGTATGGTAAATATCATTTTTGGGCGCCAAGTGTACAAAATATAATGAAAGCTGCAGATCTTAATAATGAAATTGTGACTAAAGAGAGAATTGAAATTAGATGTTACACGGATCCAAAGTTAGAAATTTATGATAAGGAGACAGGGAAAGTTATAAGATTGGATAGAAGATTAAAAATAATTCGTAAAGGGAATAGACTTTATAAAATTATATAAAATGATCCATATTTGTCATTGTTTTTTTTTTTATGTTACCTTGGTAAACGTTACATTGTTAGTAAGTAGTTTTTTAACCGATTTAAAGTGACAAACAAACAAACTGACACATGAATATTACGTAATGTACCCCAGTACAGTAATGACAACGTAAATAATTTACTAAACTAGGTGCTATCTTACGGAAGTCCATATCACTGGTTATCTGATTAGATTTTTTTGTTTAATTCCGCTATCATTAGTATGTGTGTGACTGTCAACATTCAAAGATTGACCACCACTATTACTATCAGGAGTTACACAACCTTTTTCTTTTATACAACTTAGAATGGTAAACAAGCTGACGGCCCACTTGATGGAAAGTGGTAACCGTCGCCTATAAACATGAACAGTACCATGGACATAACAGAGTATACTGTTTCAACAACGCGCATGTGACATCCCTGGAGTTGCAGGCGTCCTTAGACATCTACCGACCATCAGTGCTTATTTGCCACTTTTGTGGGATACAGTATACTCTGTTATGTCCATGATACTGCTCATGTCTATAGGCGACGGTTACCACTTTCCATCAGGTGGGCCGTCAGCTTGTTTGCCATTCTAAGTTGTATAAAAAAATCTAATTGAATTAATATTAATGGTAAAGCGTAATAAAATTGGTAAACTTCCTTGTTCAAATTACCTTAAACTCTAGTACTAATATAAATCGAATATCTAATTTATTTTTGATAAGATTACTAAACAGAGGCCACTCTATTTTGAAGCATAGAGGCATACGATTAAAAAAATATCGATTAACAAGTGTTAATACGAGTTTTTTTTTTTTATACATCTTAGAATGGCAAACAAGCTGACGGCCCACCCGATGGAAAGTGGTAACCGTCGCCTATAGACATGAGCAGTGCCATGGACATAACAGGGTATACTGTTTCGCCCATAATACCCTCCATACGTTGCCATTCCTGAGACCTCAGGTGTTATTCCTCTGTACCCAGTAAATTCACGTCATATCCCACCCTTCAAACCGAAACACAGCCATGTAAACACAACTGCTTCACGGTTGAAACACGAATGGGACAGAGGTACCCAAGCAATCGACTTTTGTACAAAGTCTCCCTTTGGAGTACGTACATAAACATTAATATTATACAAAAAAAAAAAGATGTTGATTGTTATACAAATAAAAAGTGATTGCTGTCACTTATTGGCGGGAACACCTAGATACCAGCTTGAACCCTTCGACTCAGTGCAACGACGAGCTATGAGAATTGTCGATGATCCCATGCTTGCAACCGATATCGAATCCTTAAGTCTTAGGAGAGATTTTGCCTCACTCTGCGTGTTCTACCGCTTGTACTCGTACAACGGATTGTGCTCAGAGGAATTATTCAAAATGATGCCCGCGGCCACCTTCTACCATCGTACGGCTCGCCATCGACAGGGAGTTCACCCTCATACCCTACAGCCTAAATGGTCGCGTACAACGCGGTTTCAGAGATGTTTTCTCCCACGAACACTCAGGTTATGAAATAAGCTCCGTGCTGAGGTTTTCCCAAGAGACTACAACATGGGGTTCTTCAAATGGGGGGTAAAGAGGTTTCTTCAGGGACGGCAACGCGCGCTTAATACCTCTGGTATTGCAGGCGTTCATAGGCTACGGTAACCGCTTACCATCAGGTGGGCCGTATGCTTGTTTGCCACCTCACTGGTATAAAAAAAAAAAGGTCGACCTCCACGTGGAAACCATCGTGTTGAATTCCCGGTGTATTCATCACGATGGATCAACTGATCTGCGTTCATCCTCACCTATTATCTATCACTGGTACCCCGCCAGTGTATACTGTTAGCGCAGGCAAAAATACCAATTTATTATCATCTATTAAAAAAACTGCCCCATTGCTAGAAATATACCCTATCAGGTCGACCTCCACGCGGTTCTCCCTGAAAACCATCGTGATTAAATGTTGTTAAAGTTCGTTCGTTCATCCTCACCTATCATCTATCATTGATGCCCCACCAGCATATACCGCTAACAGTCAGTGCATATCGCTAACACAGGCGGGGTTACCATTTCATTATCATCCATTAAAAAAAATCTCAAGAATAATAGTTTTCAAGTTTAAAAAAAATAATGAATTTGACTCTATTTTTTAATTCGGCTATCGTTTTGAACCGATTCTAGTCTTTTATTCTGCACTATTGTGTAACTACTTACTATTCGAAAATATAATCCATAATATTTAATTTAACCTTACAACGTTAAAAATAACATTCGAAATATATAATTCATGTAGTTTTCTTTAATATATGACAATGGAAATGATAACCCCACCTGCGCTAATGGTATACGCTGGCGGGGCAAAGTCAGTGTAGTGTACGGTATATTGGATTAGACGTTCTACGGGTCTCTCTCTCACATTGTGTAGCGAGAACAAAACTGACAGCTAATGCAAAAACTACTTTTTCTAATAGTGTAGTCCACAATGCGTTGTTGATTAAATTAGATTGTCGATTAATCGATATTATTGAACAATCAAATACATAATATTTAATTATCCGTTGAACAGTAGGCTTTGTAAGCTAATACGATTAACAAGGCTAGCAATATAATAGAATAAAAGTGTGCTATGATGTATCTGTTTAATCATTATAATTTATGTGTTACAATGAAAATTCTATCCTGTTTGTATAATCAACAACAGTTAAAGCTACGTGTCAAATAGAAAGAGTATATAAGTGTCAGTGTTATTTATATTATTATTTTCCAATGCTGGTTTTAGTTTTACTGCGTCCTTGGCTATTTAATAATGTTTCTCAATGTCAATATAAAAAAAATATTTTACAATTTTACGGTACTTGCTATGATGCTATTGATTACATGCGCAAACTATTAGTGTTAAGTATTTTAATGAATTATAATTAATTATTTTAAACATTAGACACAATAATGATACTTCTTCAATCGAATAGTCGATTAATAATCGATTCACAATGTTTATTATTAGACATCACTATTGGGCACCTATCTCTTTACGTCAAAAGTTCAAAGATTTAATTTCATTTCCCTATCATCATGATTATTGTCTTTAACTTTATACTATAGTTTAAAAGTCTTCATCGATTAATAATAAAACGCATTACGAGTATTTACGAGCGTAAGGATGTTAGTTTGTGTTTGCCTTAAGTTTATTTTCTAATTGTACATTTGAAATAATTTATGAATCCAGTTTTGGCCAAGTAGTTTCACTTTTTATTTATGTAATCTAACCAGTGTCCACATACTAAACCTTGTCCAGTTTTATTTTTAATAAAATTTGAATCTCTATGTGAAATACTTTTGTGTGCATCCAGTAAAAAAAAAATGTTTTACTATAAGGGATTAATGATCTGTGTGCCTTTGTATATTGCTGGGTAAGTTTTGTTTTTATTTTGTATTATTTTCTAATTATTATAATTTTAAAAATTAATAATGATGCTTCTAAAGGTATGTACTAACACTTTTACTTTATTATATAATTCTACAAAAACAGTAATTAATGACAAAAGAATTTTTTTTTAATAAAAGTTTGTCATGCATAATCATTTTTTTTTTTATTAATTAACTAATATTACTCTAAAATTGAGTCTATTTATACTGCATGATTTCTATCATGAATGCTTTTTTTCTTTAATATTTTGACTGATATTTTTTTAATTTTTGTAAACCTACAGAATTTATAAATATTATAAGGTAGTAAAATGTACAATAAGAAAGGAAGACTTTATACAAAAGTTGACTACTTACTACCTTAAAAATTGTCATGATTAAATATTGTTGAATTAATTATGATTTTGAGTTGCCCTGTCAGGTTATACTGATAGAGAGCAGAAATTGGTCAATATTTTCATCCTTTAAAAAAATTGTTAAAGCAATTTTAATATTTCTTTTAATGTTTATGTTTTTTATTAATTGATTTGTTATTTTACAAATCTTTAGTAACTAAATATAACTGCCTGTAGATAGGCTTTATACAAATTTAATGCATGTTTAATTTTTTGTTAGGCATTGTTTAAATTTAGCATTTCCAAATCACCTTTGAACAATCTAAAGTAATAGGTTTTTTTTTTTTTTAAGTTGATAATGGATTGTTAACCTTGCCTGTACTTCCAAAATTATGGTTTTTTTTTTTTTCTTAAAAAATTTAACCTTAATGATTGTAGTGGTAACCAAATAGAGGTAACCAAACCAAGACCTATTACCTTATTGCTAGCATAACTACATTGCTAGTTCCTTTTTTTACAATCCCTACTCCCCCATTAATAATTGAGGAAGTTCATTTGACTAGTTAGTTGATTAGTATTATTTTGTTTAATTTCACTACCATTTTTACCAACCATTTTCTCCAACTGCACATATTTGAGTTGCAATTGCAATTTATGTATATGTAGACTGAATAATGGTCAGAGTTTGATAACTTATGGGGAAGGTCATGTAACTTCTGTTAAAGTAGCCAACCCTCAAATATTGAAAATTACATGCTGAGAAATGTTAGAGGAATTAAACAAAATAATTTTAATTAATTAACCAGTGACCCGACTCTATCCTTACTGGTATATCAACACCAAATCAGTAATGACCATTTCATCAAATAAAAGAATAAATAAATATAAAATTGCATATCATAGTGGGTTTTTGTTGTATTATTGTTGTGTAGTTGTACCTATCTTTAGAATTATTATACATACATACATATCTGTTACACCTGCCTCCCATCAGGGTAGGCAGAAACAATGGAACACCAAATACTTTGATTCAAACAAACCTCTTTCGCTTCTTCCACATTCATCATTCTTTTCATACACGCTCTCCGGTTATGAGTACTTTTTGTACCATAATAAAAATCAAATAACTTAATTGCTCAGTTGATTGATAGATTGATTGGTTATTCAATGGATTGATTGATTAATACATTGATTTATTGTTCCAGGACACTCATACTTGGTACTACAATATCGGTGGCAATATTAGTGTTCCATATTGTTATGGTGCCTATGCTGTTTAGATATTCAAAGACATTTAGACGTAACCTGGTATTTTTAAACTTTGGTAAGAGTTTCTGGATTGCCATTTATTGGAAACTGAAACATTACAAGTTCCACACCTGGTCCACTATTACATCTTCCTACCATAAAACCTCCCCCACACTTGTTTGAAACCTCCTCCTCTACACTTCGTAGAAGCCTGTGTGGATTACTAAACTTTTTATAAATATTAGAAGACAACATAAAGTCTATATAAATATACCATACGTGGGTGAGGTAAAAAGTTCTCAGCCTAACAATGAAAGATTGTGATTTTCAGTAAAAACAATATTTTTATTTTTCTACATAATCTCCCTTGACTTCAACACACTTGATCCAGCGTTTCTCTGATATCAGCATGGGATGTCATGGGCGAAACAGTATACTATGTTATGTCCATGGTACTGCTCATATCTATAGGCGACGGTTACCACTTTCCATCAGGTGGACCGTCAGCTTGTTTGCCATTCTAAGTTGCATAAAAAAATATATAATAATCGACATAAATAATTACAATAGAGTATGACTAACGATGGCCCTGTGCTCCCGGCATAGAACGGCCACCCCTTCTTTTCCCATGGGTGTCGTAAGAGGCGACTAAGGAAACTAACTGGTCGAGAGAAGGGCAGCAGCGTCCCTCTTAAAGCATCTGTAAAAACCTAACTGCGGTTGCCAACCCGCCTGTCAAACGTGGCAACTACTAGCAAAACTTTCCTTATGGAGAAAACTTAAATTGAGCAGTGGACAGTCAACACCTGAAATTATGATGATAATGATTCACGTCATGCGTAAGGGGTGTTCTTCCGCTGCTGTGCTCCCCCCCCCCTTTCCTTTCACACATAAGTCCTTTAACCCTCTCATTTACTAATTTCCTTCACGCATCTCCAACGTTGCCTTCCTTTTTTCCTCAATCCTTTCCTCCAAACCGTAGGTGGCGGAAACCACTAACAAATGCATTCCCAAAGAGGGTTGACGTCAGGCAGGCGGCCGGTCGTAAAACTATAAATCCTATAGTAATATAGATAAAACCATATAACGCCGACTCCAAATAATAATTGGGATAAGGGTAGGAAGATGATGATGATGAAGCTGATGATGATGACTCATAATAGTTGTTTTTTTTTTCAGTACAATGGCCTTTACACACAGACTTCGAAGAGCCTTCGTCCAGTGGGATCGATGGTGGTCGAAATTTCACTATCGAATACCATTCGAAAGTGGATAATTGTCCTATTAGAATTGGTGTGTATATTTATCTATACTTCTCTTCTTATTTTTATTCTTCTTCTTCTTACTCTTCTTGTTTTTACAAATATAACAAACTTTTTAATACATGGAACTTACTTTACTAGAGGGAGACTTTGTACAAAAGTCGATTGCTTGGTTTGATTTATCTCTGTCCTATTCGTATTTCAACCGTGAAGCAGTTGTTTGCATGGCTGTGTTTCGGATTGAAAGATGTGATATGGCGTGAATTTATTGGGTACAGAGGAATAACACCTGAGTTCTCAGGAATGGCAACGCATGGGGAATATCATGGGCTAAGTTGTATAAAAAAAACTTATTAATATATATATATATATATATATATATATATATATATAATCTATAGTGTTACTCTTCAAATAAATGCCAATAAATCGATATTGGAATAGAGACGTTTCGCGCTCTCGAATTGCGACACTAGCGACATAATGGCTCCATATTGTTCTGATAGATGTATATTAGTGTAACTTATCAATGCAAACTATTGTAAACCGGGGGGAAAGGGATTGTTAGTAATAGAGACTGAGAATCCCATTGCTAACAATATACCCAGCCAGGTCGACCTCCTCGCGGTTCTCCCTGGAAACTATCATGGTTAATTCCTGATGAATTCATCATGATGGGCTAAATGGCCTGTTTTCATTCTCATCTATCACCCTTCACTGGTGCTCCGCCAGCGTATCCCGTTAGCGCAGGCGGGGTTACCATACCATTTTCACCCATAAAAAAAAAAAAAAAACTATTGTAAACTGATCCCAATCAGAACCTAATTCCTAACTGTTGTTTTAAGAGTGCAGTATAAAATTGCCATTGGCTATAAATTGGATTGATATTGAATCTTAGTAAGATGTATTTTATGCTAATATTTTCACTTGAATTTTCTAATTGCCATTGTATATTTTTATGTTTTTGGTTCAATTAAGAGTTAAATAAATAACTAAAATAAATACAGGGGTCTTAATAAGATCATTAGATGCCAAAGTAATAATTTTTAGAAATTTTGTGTCTGTCTATATGTTTGTTCCATCACCACGCAAAAACTGCTGCACCTAATTGGATACGGTTTTCATCGTTGTGTTCCTGAAGGTCTAACTTGGAAAAGTCATTTCAAGTGGTGTATTTCATTGGCCTTCCTATTTCTAAAATCTACGCTAACGAAGTAGAGGGTAGAAAGATAGTTTCTAATACAAACAATTACAAGAAAATATTACACTGAGAAAACAATGGGCGGCCTTAGCACTAAAAGCGATCTCTTCCAGGCAACCTTTGGATGGAGAAGAGTAATTACATAATTAGTAAATGTTCATACGCTTATCATATTTTTTTCTCTTGTATTGTACAACTTTGTAAAAAAAAAACACACACACACACACACTAGCAAGAAACATTACGATTGTGTGGGTTATAATTCATTCAATAAAAGATCGCGTATTATCTGTCACTTCACATTTATACGTAATAATAAAAATCACTCGCCAATCTGGAAATTTTACATTATCTTTAATTATATAATAATCAAGAAAAACCACAAGTGTTTGATTCCAGCGCCATCTAGTCATTCCTTGTCTAATTTTGTTTAGTTTAGTGAACGATCACCTTAAATTGTAATTAATTATTTATTTAACTCTTTATTGCACCATAAATAAAAATATACAATGACAATTGAATAATTCAAGTGAAATACAGTAACATAAATACAGATTGAAATATACACATAAAGGTACAAAAGGCGGTCTTATCGCTAGGGCAATCTCTTACATCTCTTAAAATTAATGTACCAAGACGCCATGACACATACACATAACACTTGTGTATGTCGGCTTAAAACCCAGTGACCCGGAGATACTATTGACCCACCTCTTAAGGCAGGGGTTCCCAAACTTATTTTGTCTACTGCCCACTTTGAGAATAAATTATTTTTTAGCGCCCCCATTTTTTCACCTACTCAAAAACCACAATTACTTCAAGATTAACAAATCACCCCCCAAGCCTCTACACAACGCCCCCATTTTTTTTCTGGGTCTCTTACCGCCCACCTTTAGGCCTGCAGCGCCCACAAGGGAGCGTTATCGCCCACTTTGGGAAAGGCTGTTTTAAGGCAATCATTGAAAAGAAATATTTGCGTTTTAATAGCCAAAGCATATTTTTTTTATACCATTGAGGTGGTAAACAAGCATACGGCCCACCTGAAGGTAAGTGGTTACCGTAGCCTATGAACGCCTGCAATACCAGGGGTATTACGCGATGCCGACCCTGAAGCAACCTTTACGCCCCTTTTTAGGAACCCCATGCTGTAGTCTCTTGGGAAAACCTCGGCAGGGAGCTCATTCCATAACCTGAGTGTTCGTTGGAGAAAACATCTCTAAAACCGCGCTGTACGCGACCATTTAGGCTGTAGGGTATGAGGGTGAACTCCCTGTCGATGGCGAGCCGTACAATGGTAGAAGGTGGCCGTGGACATCATTTTGAACAATTCATATAAAATGGATACTTTGCATTTTTGCATTGTAACGGAATATCAACTTTATGCTTACAGGAATATGGCACATCTTACCAAAATCAGTGTACGAGAGACATAGGAATAAGTTTGAAGCAAATACAGACAAAGAACAATTGAACAAACTGATGGATGAAGAGCTGGTCAATTCCAAGACACCAATCATGCTGTACTGTCATGGTAATGTACCCTTTTACTACACAGAGTCGTTCAAAATAATAAAAAAAAAAAATCCAAAAAAAAAACATTAATCAATAATTAAGATTGTTAATTTTAATTTTATTTGTTAACTAACCTTTACCCGCGGCGTTGCCCGCTTCGAATTATGTAGTTCCCGTATATCATTCCCATTGGAACCTTTTATGAATCCTGTCTTATATTGTACTATATACTTAAACGATAATTACGTACCTAACACCTTCATAAAGTTTCAGCCAATTCAACTAATCGGTGAATTTACAGGGTACAGAGGAATAACACCTGAGTCTTCAGGAATGGCAACGTATGGAGGGTATCATGGGCTAAACAGTATGTGTGTATACTGTTATGTCCATGGTACTGCTCATCTCTATAGGCGACAGTTACCACTTTCCATCAGGTGGGCCGTCAGCTTGTTTGCCATTCTAAGTCGTATAAAAAAAAATATAGCATTTTATATGTGATCCTTTAGATTGATATAACTTTTTTTTTATTGGATGATAATGGAATGGTAATCCCGCCTGCGCTATTGGTATAAGCTGGCGGGGCACCAGTGAGGACACGTGAGAATTAAAAGACAGGTCAGTAAGTCAATTGTGACGAATACACTTGGAATTCAGCATAATGATTTTCATGGGGAACCACGGGGAGGTCGACCTGTTAGCAATAAGAATAGCAATTCGCATCACTAACAATCCCCCTCCCCCCAACTTTTTTATTTATGAACCCCTTCAGCGTCCCTTTTAAAACCACCAAAAGCCAAACTGCGGTTGCCAACCCGCCTACCAAGCGTGGCAACTACTAGCAAAACTCCCCTCATGGGGAAAGCTTATGTTCAGCTGTGGACACTTAACGACTGGAATGATATTGTAACATTTTATAATACAAATAATTCTAGACGTTTCGAATCACTCACATGGGCGGTCACGTTACTTCTAGACCTTTCAGAGATCGTGCGTGATCACGTTTCCAACGAATTGTTTACAAAAAAAAAAAATGTACTATGACCAACACGATAGCTTTTAATTACGATAGCCCGGGCTATCGACTCGAGATAGCCCTCGCGACCGAAAGCTAACCAGGTACGTACATTTAATTAACTTCATAATAGTCGGGCACTTTTATTTTATCGTATTTATATGTGAGGACGTTAGTTGATAACCCTAACTATATACACAAAACTATGTCTCACACGTGTTCCTTCCATTCAAATTTCGATTTCAAATTATCTTTAATCAAATGCACTTTTGTACAAGCATTTTTAAATACTTTTTTATGAATGAATAGGTTCGAAAATTTGTTATCTTTTTTTTCTTATACAACTTAGAATGGCAAACAAGCTGACGGCCCACCTGATGGAAAGTGGTAACCGTCGCCTATAGACATGAGCAGTGCCATGGACATAACAGAGTATACTGTTTCGCCCATGATATTCCCCATGCGTTGCCATTCCTAAGGACTCGGATGTTATTCCTCTGTACCCAGTAAATTCACGCCATATCCCACCCTTCAAACCGAAACACAGCCATGCAAACACAACTGCTTCACGGTTGAAACACGAATGGGACAGAGGTGCCCAAGCAAACGACTTTTGTACAAAGTCTCCCTTTGGTAAAATACTCTAATGATACCGTCCACCTATGCTAATAGTCTACAATGATGTGTCTATGGGGGGAAAGGAATTGTTAGTAATGGGGTCAAATAGCCCCATTATTAGCACTGTATCCTGTCAGGTCGACCTTCACGTGGTTCCATGTGAAACCATCGTGAACAATTTTTGTTGAATTCGTCACGATGGGCTAACTGGCCTGCTTCATCCTCACCTATCATCCTTCACTGGTGCCCCGCCGGTGTATACCGATAGCGCGGGTGGTGTTTACCATTACATTATCACCCATTAAAAAATAAAAAAAAAAGATGTGTCTATTGTAAAATGAATTCACTAGGAATTTAACAAAAGGGTTGACAATAAAGAGTTGATTTAATATAAACCGGATAACTGTCCACTACTTAGCATTGGTCACCCCGCAAAGCAGGGTTTTACCAGTAGTTGCCACAAGTACTGGTTACAACATACATTAGTCACACATCCGTCCTCGTCTCTCTCTCTCTCTCCCTCTCTTTCTCTCTCTCTTTCTCTCTCTCTCTTTCTCTCTCTCTCTCTCTCTCTCACTTCTTCTCTTTCTCTCTCTCTTTCTCTTCCTCTCTTTTCTCTCTTTCTCTTCCTCTCTCTCTCTTTCTCTTCCTCTCTTTCTCACTCTTTATCTCTCTCTCTCTCTTTCTCACTCTTTGTTTAACATTTGCAACACAGTGTAGTGTTGCAAATGTCAAACGAAGAAATCTCACACATGCAAAAACAATTTTATTATTGATAAGCACAAATGTCACTGTGTCACAAAGGGCACTGTTTGTAATCATTGCACGTGACCGTATCAACTTATTATTATGTCTAGATAACAATACAAATGTATATATACTAGTACATATATATATATATTTATTTATTATATAAAATTAATATCTTATCGTGTTATTTCGCATTGTGACAATGATATTTACAGTTGTGACTCAAGGCGACGTTATCTATTGTGCTAACCCCTGCCTTGTTTTGTTTATTATTATTTTAGTCGAAGTGATATATATGAGACATATTGATAATGCCCGGACATTCTGAACAATGCACTATTTCTTAATAGGGCAACACTATCTTCACTAATATTTCCCCGCGGCTTCGCCCTCGTGAATTAATACATAATGATATAACCTACTCGTGTACACAACTACGTTTAATCCATTCTGTAGTTTTTGTATGAAGGTTTTTTTTTTCGTACAACTTAGAATGGCGAACAAGCTGACGGCCCATCTGATGGAAAGTGGTAACCGTCGCCTATAGACATGAACGGTACCATGGACATAACAGAGTATACTGTTTCGCCCATGATACCGCCCGTGCGTTGCCATTCCTGAGGACTCAGGTGTTATTCCTCTGTACCCTGTAAATTCACGTCATATCCCACCCTTCAAACCGAAACACAGCCATGCAAACACATGCAGATAGAAGTTAAAAAGATCATTAATCAATACATATAATAAAATCGTAAGTAGTCGCTGTCTGTACATAGAAGATATATGTATAAGAAAAACTATTATTGAACACAATTAAAACACACACAAACACACAAACAAAAAACTATTATTGAAAACAATGATTATTAGAATTTTTGCCTAAATGTCTGTTTGTCTGTACATTTGTTCACGCTAATCTCAAAAATAGCTTAACCGATTTGAACGCGGTTTTTACTAGTGCGTTGCAGTTTACTTCACTTAATATTTAGTGTTTGTTTTAAGTCAATCGGTTCATAAATAAAAAAGTTATATCAATCTAAAGAATCACATATAAAATGCTATAAAATAACCGATCAGTTGAATTGGCTGAAACTTTATGAAGGTATTAGGTACGTAATTATCGTTTAAGTATATAATACAATATAAGGCCAGATTCATGAAGAGTTCCAATGGGAATGATAAACGGGAACGGAGAACGCCGCGGGAAACGGCTAGTGTTACGATATAAGTCAATAATAGAAAATAAGATAGACATAAGCTGTATGGGCCCTTTGCCTTCTCCTCTAGGATAAACAGAACCAAAAAAAAAAACAGTATTTAGAAAGATTCTCATATACCACATTCGGTGAAATTAAACATTTTTTTTTTCAATTAAACGGAATAAAACGGCACGCAATACTTTCCTCAGCATTTAATAATGTTTTTGACTGAGAACATTTTCTGTGATTACTTGCAACACTGAAAAATGGCGCGCTTTGTTCTTTTTTTTTTAATTGTAAGTATGTTCTTGACAGTTCTTGTGTTCTTGACATTAATTGTACTTAAATTATCAAATAAAAATTTAATAGCAACATGATAAGTGTTTAAATGACCTCATTTGATTTCTCATTATACATACTTAAAAGGCGCACTCTTTTATCGAAATTGGCCATTTAAAAATAGAAGTGACAAACAAAATTATCTTAAATAATACGTAATTTAACATAGAAACTTTTTAACCCTTAATCAGGCCCCATGTGCACTGACATTAAAACATATTTTTAAATATGGTGTGTTCTTAATTTTTACCTGTACAATATATACCTAAGATCTGTTTCTTAAAAAAATATTAAAATTAAGATAAAAAAAAGTGGTCGTATTATGCCACACTATTGCCTATTGCTTGTTATATACAGGCAATAGGCCTGTTAAGAAGCTATAAGTGTGCGAAATTTCATACTCCTTCGGGCAATTTTCGTAAAAAGAGGTATAAAGTTTTTGCTTCACGTATAATATATAGATTAATAGGTTCTTTGTTGTGAATTCCAGGTAACTCAAATTCACGCGCCACGACACACAGACTTGAGCTGTACAAGTTCTTCCAGAGAATGGAGTATCACACTATTGCATTTGACTATAGAGGTGAGTTTATTTTAGGGTTCCGTACCCCCAAAGGAAAAAATAGGACCCTTATAGGATCACTTTGTCGTCCGTCCGTCATGAACTTTTTTCTCAGAAACGCGTGGAGGTATCAAGTTGAAATTAAAATCATATACTCAGGTCTGCAATCTCTTGAAGCAGTGAAAAAATCAAGCTTCTAAATCGACGCAATCAAAAGATACGGCCGTTTATGTTCCATTTGTGTCGCATATTTTGACATTCGCAAAGGGAATCAAAACCTATAGGGCACTTCCCGTTGACCTAGAATCATAAAATTTGTCAAGAAACAATATCATGTAGCACAAGTAAAGGAAAAAATCCGAAAACCGTAAATTTGTAGTTATTTCACAAAAAAAATTAAACTTGATAATTTTGTACAGAACCCTTGTCGCACGAGTCCGACTCGCACTTGACCGGCTTTTTATTAATGGATGAAAAGGGAATGGTAACCGCGCCTGAGGTTTCGGTATACGCTGGCGGGGCACCAGTGATGGATGGTAGCTGAAGATGAAAGCATCTCTGTAGGCCCATTATAACAAATTCGACAGGAACTAACCATGATAATTTCCTGAGGAAACCATGCGGAGGTCGATCTGATATGGTATATTGCGGGTTCGGAAAGTTGTTATCTGGTGAGAAGAACTCGCAAGAAACTCATTAGTTACTCTTTCTAAATTTCTGTTAACATTATGTGTATTCCTAAGGACCTACTATAGGCAATATTAAGCTTGTAATTTCATAACCTAAAGGTCGAGGGATGGGCGACAGTCCCTCTTAAACCACACCAAAGCCTACCTGCGGCTGCCAACTCGCTTGCCAAGTATGACACTAATACCAAAAGCCCCTAAGGAAGGAACCTATGATCAGCAATGGACAGTCAACGTCTGCTATGTTGTTTTTTTTTTTTTGATGGATGAAAATGGTATGGTAACCCCGCCTGCGCTAACGGGATACGCTGGCGGAGCACCAGTGAAGGATGATAGATGAGAATGAAAACAGGCCAGTTAGTCCATCATGATGAATTCATCAGGAATTAACCATGATAGTTTCCAGGGGGAACCGCGAGGAGGTCGACCTGGTTGGGTATATTGCTAGCAATGGGATTCCAAGTCTCCATTACTAACGGTCCCTTCCCCCCCCCTGCTATGTTGTTGATAATGGTAATGATGAATTTTCATAATATCCCATCCTTCAAACCGAAACAAGACCATGCAGCTGCTTCACAGTAGAGACGAATGGATCAGAGCTATTGGGTAGACTTCTATACTTCTCGTTCTGGTATCCTTAACCCTTAAATACCTGAAGTTTCAAATTTGATACCGGGGTTATAAATCGCATTGGGCGTCTACAATCGATTTTATTTTAATATTTGGCTGTTTACATGTTACCAAATGTTTTTTCAAAATAAATATACAAAAATATCGTTTTGATTTTTTTTACTATTTTCCCCCATTAGTAAACACAGTAAAGGGTACACTTGTTTATTTTTTAATTTGATTTAATAAATCAGGCTTTTAAGGGTTAACAGGTTACCGAGTTAACCAATCACTATATAATTTGTTATACACGTACTGTATGAGATAGAGAAAGGTATAGTTTACGTTTTGTTTCGATCAGTGAAGTAACCCCAGTTACGCGTTGGGGGTAAAGGGATTTTATTTTATTTTTATTTTATTTATTAGGCGCACATAACAGAAGTTTACAAATAAAATTTAAATTATAATATGCAAGTACATAACGGGTATCAGGTAAACTTGCCACAACATGTGCACACAGCATGATCCAATAATAAATGCGACTGCAACAAAGCTATTAGGTTGCAACTATTAGTGAAAAATTTAAACATAAAAATAAACATAAACATAAAGAAAGTTAAATAAAAAACCAAAACAAAATTATTTAAGAGATTTCTAAATATTACATTATTTTATATAATTGTCTGCTAGTTTTGATTGTTAGTAATATGGTCAAATAGCCCCATTACTAGCAATATACCAGGTAGACCTTCACGTAGTTCCCCTGGAAACCATCGTGGCTAATTTTAGTTGAGTTCGTCAGGATGGGCTAACTGACCTGCTTTCATCCTCATCAGTAATCTATCACTGGTGTCCCGCCATTGTATATCGATAGCGCAAACGGGCTTACCACACCGTTATCACTCATTTAAGAAAAAACAGTTACGCAGACGATGTCGCTGGTGAAAACTAGTTCATTAATAAATTTTACTTGATTTAAGGTTACGGCGACTCGACAAAAGTGAAACCTTCAGAGAACGGAGTGGTGGAGGATGCACTTGTTGTCTACGAGTGGTTGAACTCAACGGTGGATAAGGGAAGCACCAAACCTGATATATTTGTATGGGGACACTCTTTAGGTAACTATTTCAAATACCATCAATTAGATGTGGGTAATATATAGCATTATCTATATATTGTAGATGCAATATCTATATATTGTAGTTGCTATATCTATATATTGTAAATGCAATATCTGTATGTTATAGTTGCTATATCTATATATTGTAAATGCAATATCTGTATGTTATAGTTGCTATATCTATATATTGTAGTTGCTGTATCTATATATTGTAGTTGCTATATCTATATATTGTAGTTGCTATATCTATATATTGTAAATGCAATATCTGTATGTTATAGTTGCTATATCTATATATTGTAGTTGCTATATCTATATATTGTAAATGCAATATCTGTATGTTATAGTTGCTATATCTATATATGGTAGTTGCTATATCTATATATTGTAAATGCAATATCTGTATGTTATAGTTGCTATATCTATATATTGTAAATGCAATATCTGCCTGTTATAGTTGCTATATCTATATATTGTAAATGCAATATCTGTATGTTATAGTTGCTATATCTATTAATTGTAAATGCAATATCTATATATTTTTGTTGCAATATCTATATACTGAAGAATAGAATAGAATAGAAATCATTTATTCAAATAAACTTACATTGAAGCACTTTTGAAAAGTCATTACATTTTTTTTAATTTACCGCTCGTTCGGAAAGCTGTCTCATCACAAGAAGAACGAGCAAGAAACTTGCGTGATGCTCTTTTAAATAATTTTATTATTACTTTACATTTTTAAGTTTAATTGTGTGAATACAAACCACCAAATATGATGCAATATCTATATACTGTAAATGCAATATCTATATATTGTAGTTGCAATATACATACATTGCAGTCGCTATAGCTATATATTGTAGTTGCAATATATATATTTTGTAGATTCAGTATGTATATATGGTAGATACAATATCTATATATTGTAGTTACAACATCAATATACTGGTCCAACAACGAATATCTTAAATGTCTGTTACTCGTATCCAATATTTTGTCGAAATGAAGAACTTGATCTATTTTATTTCTTTATTTCTGTTTAATTTGCAATGTATAGTTGTTTGTTTGTTTATGTCAAATCTTACAAGTTAAATTAGAACAACTTCTGGACATTCGATTGACTACAAATTTTGCATAAACCTTTAGTACTGATGATAATACAATATGCAATACACAATATTCAAAATGGCCGCCGCCACAAGATGGCGGATGGTATATAAATATACATCATCCGCCAAAAATTGCCAATCCTGTTAATATAACTACCAATCAAATAAAAGATCTTGAAGAGTAGATGACGATAAATGATATTATTTTAAAATGGTCGCATCCACAAAATGGCAAATTACATTGTAAAGGTTTATATTTAAAAATGTTTTTAAACTTTGCTAACGACCTGTCAGATCAATATCCACGCGGTCCCCCCTGGGAACTATCGTAGTTAATTCCTGGTGAATTCACCAGTATTGGTCAACTGACCTAACTTCATCATCACCTATCATCACTCACTGGTATCCTACAGCATATTTATTTATTTATTTATTTATAAAAGACACACCAACAATATACTCACAATAATTAAGTAGACAATATACAATGTTATTAGTAAATAAAAGAGAAAAACTACTATTACAAAATGCTTAAATCTAAGTTAGAACAAAAAAATTCTTACTCCTCACTACCAAGCTTAAGGCTATATGAACATATCAATTAAAGGTGTATACAGCTCTCACAGATAAGCGTCAATGTACACTAACTAACAATTATACAAAATGCATATACCAATAGCGCTAATGGGTTTTTTTTATGGGTGAAAATGGTATGGTAACCCCGCCTGCGCTAACGGGATACGCTGGCGGAACACCAGCGAAGGGTGATAAATGAGAATGAAAACAGGCCAGTTAGCCCATCATGATGAATTCATCAGGAATTAACCATGATAGAGAAGGTCAACCTGGTTGGGTATATTGCTAGCAATAGGATTCTCAGTCTCCATTACTAACAATCCCTTTCCCCCTGCGCTAATGGGGTTGCCATTCCATTTTCATCTCTAATAATTTGTTTTTAGGTACCGGTATATCTTCACACATGCTGGGCGCACTGGAGCGGCTATCAAGCACTCTACTGGAGCGGCATACCTCGCTGCCTCTGCCCAAAGGTCTAATACTCGAAGCACCCTTCAACAACCTGGCTGACGAAGTCAAATATCACCCGCTTGGAAAGGTATTGAGAAATTGTCAAAACCTGTAAAAACAATCTTAGTGTGAAAATATTATGTATATGTGTATATATATATATAAGGCCTGCTACATGCATTATACATAACAGTACCCCCCCCCCCTGTCAAAAAGGGGATTTACCAGTAGTGTCATGCTTGGCAAACGGATTGACAACCGTAATTAAACTTTGGTGAGCTACCCATCACTCGACCATTAAATTCCCTTAATCGCTTTACAACATCCACGGGAAAGAAAGGGGTGGTCCATTCTATGCTGGGACCACACGCCATTACTAGCAGCGGAGCTTTTAAACTCTATTACTAACAATTCCTTATAAAAACAACCATACTGTTTCCACTTATTATTGTACGCACACTGCCCGCTGGTAATTAATGCTGCTTTCCACTCAGGGCTCGCTAAAAGAGAACTCTTACAGAGTTAAGCTCGCCTGTTGTACACCTTTATTTATAGTACATTACTGCAGTGGCCAGCAACTGAGGCATTGATGGACGAACGTGCAAATGTAGGCCGAGGCGTAGCCAAGGCACACATACGTGAGTCCATCAATGCCTAGTTGTGGCCAAGGCTTGTATAGTACTTTTCTCAAACAATGCGCGGAAATCAAAAACACATTTTTACTTTTTAAGTTCAATGACGAATAAAGTACAATAATAATTTTTCACGGGCCATAATGTTCCTTTGTTTTTTTTTTTTCAATAAACAGCTTTCTACTTGCAAGCCAGTTGGAAATTTAAATAAAACCTTTTATTAGTTACCTCCTTGGTAGCCATGTTTTGAAGTAAAAAGTCATTCCATTTTTAAATTACACAGATATGGATTTTCATACAACTTTTGCCGGCCGCTGCCCGCATGTAAATAGCCAGTACGGCAATTTTGATTTATCTCGAAGAAGATTGTCAAAATAATGCACACATTTCCAAGCATGTTTGAGAAAAAATATATTTTTTGTGTACTATAAAGAATATACAATAATAATAACAATCCATTTCCGCTCAGTAAGTGCGATTGGTCGATGATTGATTGATACCCAAGTTGTTGGGTTCGGCAGCTGGTGCGCTGGCTGCCGTACCACGAGGCCACGTTCCTGGCGCCGTTCCGCTCGGCGGCCGAGCCCACGTTCCGCTCGGACGAGCACCTGCGCCGCGCGCGCGCGCTGCCCGTGCTCATCCTGCACGCGCGCGACGACCGCGTCGTGCCCTTCGTCGTCGGCTGGAAGGTATGCAATCCATGCACATACATAAACATACAGTTGCCACCCTGTTCGAGCTCTTACTGTGTAATTAAATTAATCTATTGTAATTTGCTAGAATTTGCAACAATATAGGAAATTTACGTTATATTTCCTTTCATTAGATTTATAAACCCTTATATTAATTTATTATAGTAAACAGGAATTAAACGCATACAACAAACGCGACAATAATGATAATTGATGAACAGTTCTGTTGCTGAACACAACATAAATGGAAATAGATGAACAATTTTGTTGATCGATACGACAATAATGGATATTGATAAACAGTTCTGTTGCTCACCACGACAATAATGGAAATTGATAAACAGTTCTGTTGCTCAACACGACAATAATGGATATTGATAAACAGTTCTGTTGCTCACCACGATAATAATGGAAATTGATGTACAGTTCTGTTGCTCAACGCGACAATAATGGAAATTGATGAACAGTTCTGTTGCTCAACGCGACAATAATGGAAATTGATGAACAGTTCTGTTGCTCAACGCGACAATAATGGAAATTGATGAACAGTTCTGTTGCTCAACGCGACAATAATGGAAATTGATGAACAGTTCTGTTGCTCAACACGACAATAATGGAAATTGATGAACAGTTCTGTTGCTCAACACGACAATAATGGAAATTGATGTACAGTTCTGTTGCTCAACACGACAATAATGGAAATTGATGAACAGTTCTGTTGCTCAACACGACAATAATGGAAATTGATGTACAGTTCTGTTGCTCAACACGACAATAATGGAAATTGATGTACAGTTCTGTTGCTCAACACGACAATAATGGAAATTGATGTACAGTTCTGTTGCTCAACACAACAATAATGGAAATTGATGAACAGTTCTGTTGCTCAACACGACAATAATGGAAATTGATGAACAGTTCTGTTGCTCAACACGACAATAATGGAAATTGATGAACAGTTCTGTTGCTCAACACGACAATAATGGAAATTGATGTACAGTTCTGTTGCTCAACACGACAATAATGGAAATTGATGTACAGTTCTGTTGCTCAACACGACAATAATGGAAATTGATGTACAGTTCTGTTGCTCAACACGACAATAATGGAAATTGATGTACAGTTCTGTTGCTCAACACGACAATAATGGAAATTGATGAACAGTTCTGTTGCTCAACACGACATTAATGGAAATTGATGAACAGTTCTGTTGCTCAACACGACATTAATGGAAATTGATTAACAGTTCTGTTGCTCAACACGACATTAATGGAAATTGATGAACAGTTCTGTTTGTTGACATCATGGACACTTTTATTATTAATCACACTGCAAAATTCAGTTTTTTGTCAATTCTACGTATATTATAAATCTAAGCTTGTATAGATGTTTGTATGTTTGACACAGCAGCTGGATGAATTTGAATGCAATTCAATACACGGATAGATTATAATATCTTAACATAGAACACATCATATAATTAATTCACGCGGACAAAGTCGCGGTAAAAAGTTCTACTAAATACGATTCAGTTAATTATCAAAATGCATTGTAAGAACTAATTGTAATGTCGTCTCTTTTTCTCAGCTATACAAATCTATACTGGCATCTCGCTCTGAGGGCGGGGCGACCGTGAAATTGCATGAGTACGATAAAAAGGAAAACCTTGGCCATATATGGATATGTCATGCTGATGATCTATCAGAAGTGGTAGGGTGAGTATCATTACTTTAAATTTGAGTTTTTTTTTTTAATAGAAGAAAATGGTATGGCAACTCCGCCTGCGCTATCGGTATGCGCTGGCGCAGGACCAGTGAGGGATGGTAGGTGAGGATGAAAGCAGGTCAGTTAGCCCATCGCGATGACTTCAAGAATTAGTAACTATAGTTTCCACTTGGAGGTTGACCTGATAGGGTATATTGCTAGTAATGGAACTGTTAAACCCCAATACTATCAATCTCTTTCCCCCCGAGTATCGTGGTTGTCACAGTGTATTCTGTGACGTCCGTGTTCCTGTATGTAGAAAATAGATTGGTCACTTCGCTTGTTGGTATGTGATTGGTGTAACACCAGTGCATGATATGTGATGAGGATAAAGTCTGATTACTTGGTCCATTGGATCGGATTCAAGAATTGTCCACAGTTTTCAGATTTCCAGGTCCACATGAATCTCGACCTGATAGAGTATGCTACTATACCCCATTACGGGGTGGGGGGGATTGTTAGCAATGGACTTTGACAGTCCCATTGCCAGCAATATGCCCTATTAGGTTGACCTTCACGTGGTTCCCCTGGAAACCATCGTGAACAATTCTTGTTGAATTCGTCACGATGGACTAACTGACCTGCTTCATCCTCACCTATCATCCTTCACTGGTGCCTCGCCGGTGTATACCGAGCACGGGTGGGGTTACCATTAAAAAAATATACCATTACGAACAGTCCAGTCTCAGTTCCATCGATGTATAAAAATATGCATCTTTTAAAGCAATATCTTCCACGCACAACCACTCTTTGGAATCAACTTCCAGCAGCAGTATTTCCGAACCGATACGACAACATAACCTTCAAGAAAAGAGCATATTCCTTTTTTAAAGGCCGGCAGCACACCTGCAATGCCGTTGGTGTTGTGGGTGACCATGGGTGGCGGTAGTCACTTACCATCAGGTGAGCCGCATGTTCGTTTGCCCCCCTGTGTTATAATAAAAACAATTTGTTTCAGGGAATTCGTTGACGGTCATCGATGAATCAGTTGGGAAACAACGCAGTTTCGGAAGCAATTCGTGACCCTTAGTCATGAGAGACTGTGACGTGTACGTTCGCTAGTTATTGCATTAAAATTATGTATTTGTTTGTAAATTAGTAGAATTATGGTCCATGAGACGTTGAGCTACTTGGCAAGCTAAGGGGTCGCTCACACTGCTTTACATTTTAGATTAATTGATATAAAGATCAATAAAATATGGTAATAGATTTTATTATTTGTACATTATGTACTTAAAAAGTTTAATATCGCACTCAACTGGAAGCGTTTCAAAAATGTGATTCCTTAACAAGTGAAAATACGATAGATACATTTTCGCTAGTGCACTCACGAGTAAAAACAGAACGCTGGACGTTGATTTCTATTTTCATCACAAGCACATTGTAGCGATGATGTGTCTATTGATAATTTGCCATTTGTGTAGAATCTTGAGCATTTACTGAAGTAACAAAAGGACAGGACGCTGGACGTTGATGTCTTTTTTATTTTTATTTATTTATTTATTTATTTAACTCTTTATTGCACCATAAATAAAAATATACAATGACAAGTGAATAATTCAAGTGAAATACAGTAACATAAATACAAAATGAAATATACACTTGAATAAAAATATACACTTGAATATACACTTGAAAAAAAATGAAATATACACATGAAATATATATATATATATATATATATATATATATATATATATATATATATATATATATATATATATATATATATATATATATATATATATATATATATATATCAAATAATAATATATATCAAACGATACCGATATTACCCATGCCTAGTAGAAAGGTTACATCTTGTACATGAGTTTAATATTTACATGTATTTATTTAATTTTATTAACTTTAAAATTGACATTGAAATCGTATTGAAAACTCAACCGCTCCCCTAGCGGATCGTGTCAGAAACTTACACAAGTTTTAAACAATGTTGCCAACTCAATGTCGAATCGGGCTAAATTGTATTTAAAAAGAGCTAAGTTGGCAACACTGAACGTAGACGTTATTGCAAATACGTAAATCAGAGCTAAATTCACATTGAAATCCAGATAATTATTCAATAAGTTATAAGAAGAGGAAAAATGTTTAGACGTAACAGTATGTAGGTACTTGCAAATGTCTCTGTGTGTGTATGTGTTATGAACACTTTTTTTTATTACAACCGTTATTTTATTTGATGGCTAGTAAATTTAGAATTTAATTTATTTATTTATTATGTATTTCTATGACATTTTTTATATGATGTCATAGTTGGTGATATCGCAATCACAAGCATGATTATTATAAGGGGGTAAATACATATAATTATGTATATTTGAAGTCACAAATCTTTTTTTTTTTATTTATTTATTGTTACAATTTAAAACATTTATTTAGATTATAAGACTGATACCATGAAATGGTATCTATATTTTAATCGTGTATAATTAAGCAATATCAGAATTAATATCCACTTAAGTGTTCCTTAACTGGGTCTTAAAGTCCCAGTTGAAAAAATTAAGTCACAGTTTACAGAGTCAAACCTCATCAACAGAATCAAAAGGCAGTTAACAAAGTTAAGTCCCAGTTAAACAAAATTAAGATTCAGTTAACATACTCTTCATTAAAACTCAGTTAACAAATTTAAGTCCTTGTTTAAAAATTTAAGTCCCAGTTATTAAATTAAGATCCAGATAATATATTCTTAATTAAAACTCAGTTAAAAAATTTAAGTCCTTGTTTAAAAATTTAAGTCCCAGTTTATAAATTTAAGTACCAGTTAACAAAATTGAGATCCAGTTAATATACTCTTAATTAAGACTCAGTTAACAAAATTAAGTCCCAGTTAACAAAATTAAGTCTCAGTTAACAAAATTAAGTCCTAGTTAACAAATTTAAGTACCAGTTAACAAAATTAAGATTCAGTTAATATACTCTTAATAATGGCTCAGCTAACAAAAGTAAGTCCCAGTTAATTATAATTAAGACTCAGTTAATAAAATTAAAACTAACCGGTTCTTGATTTTGTTAAGTGACAATGTTAAGATCCATTTGACATAATAAACAACCGGTTATAAAATTAAGCCTTATTTAACAGAATCGAGATGCCTTAATGGTGGCCATTTTATATGCAAGACAAGTGACAAGTACATGTGTAAACTTTAAAACTGCACAACTGTGATTTTCGAGGGACCCCTAGCGTATTGTGATAATATATGTTGCTTTTTATATTTTTTATTTATTTTATTTTTTAAAATGTAGTTAATAAATATTTTATATTATATAAATGTTGTTTTATTAATAGTCTACGTGTTGATACAAAAATAAAAATTATACATCAATGATTTTTTTGTTCATACTCAAATGGGTCGTCAGCTTGTTTGTCATTGTAAGTTGTATAAAAAACTGACTAAAATCGGAGGCGAGTCGCTACAAATGTTGAATTTTAGACAAATATATAAGGGATTTGGCCGTTTAGATCCCGGCGTAGAATGGGCCACCCCTTCCTTTCCCGTGAGTGTTGTAAGAGGTGACTAAGGAAATTTATGGTCCGGGAATGCGCATCAGAGTCTATTTTAAAACAACACCAAGGGCCAATGATTTCCAACCCGCCTGCCAAGCGTGGCAACTACTGACAAAACCCCCAACTATGGGGGAGGCCTAGGTCCAGCAATGGACGGGTAATGGCAGAAATGATGATCATATAAGAGAGTGTAGGACAACCCGCCACTAGATGGCGTGACGACCTCAAATGCATTGCAGGAAATGTGAGTAATTCGATTAATATAAATAATATAAAATTAGGTTTCAAAGGCAGCGGATGAAGAAAAATAATACCTAGATTTTGAGTTCAGATTTTTTTTTAATACGACAATAGAATTCCTTATGAAAGAACATTAAAGAAATATTCGAATTATTTGTAATTGACAGAAAAATAAAATAACGAATTATAAAGTGGTTTCACAACATGGAACATAAACTTACTATAACATATTACTTTAAAATCTAAGGCAAGGAGTCAGTGGGTGCAGGTGGCTCAGGACCGTTCCTTATGGCAGTCTATTGGGGAAGCGTATGTTCAGCAGTGGACAGGTAATGGCTGAGATCATGATGATATAAGAGAGACTATAAATAAGATTGATAAATATATTCACGGCTATATAGTATACGCTGTCGGGTCACTAGTGAGGTATGATAGGTGAGAATGAAAAGGCAGGGCAGTTAAGCCCATCGTGATGAATACACATGGGATTCAGCACAATGGTTTCCAGGGTAGACCACGTGGAGGTCGGCCTGACAGGGTATATTGCCTGCAATGAGACCGGTAGTCTGCATTACTAACAATCCCTCGCTCCCCCCTCCCGTACCTACTCTTATTAAGTTAAAAAGTTTCGACTTGGTTCCTTGTTCTAAGATATTATCCCTAATTTATAGTCGTAATATCTATGTTAAACTGACAAAACCTCAGTAAAATAAAAACAATTTAATTATGTGATAATTTTATTAAATATATATATATATATATATATATATGAAACACATAAAATTAAAAAAAAATTTAAATAAATGAAAACTTCTGAATCGAATAAAGAGCCTTGTTAAACAAAATATATCTAGATTAACTCCCATCGAATATGGTGATTAGGTAAGAAGCAATTATTGCATCCCTTAATCTAATTTTACACCTGACGCCTTGCGGGGAGACTACATAGATCATATACATATAGATGGAGTATCTCTATACAATTTGCTGAAAACAAATCAATTTTTTTTTTATTTTTATGTACATATAATCTGTACGACTTAGGTAACATCGATTTCTATTAACTTAAAATTTAATGTTAATGTTAATTTATATTAAGATTTCAATTTTTATAATAATATATACCGGGGGGGGGGGGGGGGGGGGATTGTTAGTAATGAGATTTAACAGCCCCATTACTAGCAATACACTCTATCAGGTCGACCTCCGCGCAGTTCTCCAAACATACATAAGTTATGTTGCCAAACATAGTGGTTAATTCTTGTTCAATTAGTCACTATGGGCCACTTGACCTGCCTTCATCCTCACGTGTCACCCTTCACTGGTACCCCGCCTGTTCATTCGTGTTTCTACCGTGAAGCAACTGTGTTTGCATGGCTGTGTTTCAGTTTGAAGGGTGGGATATGGCGTGAAATTACTGGGTACAGAGGAATAACACCTGAGTCCTCAGGAATAGCAACGCATGGGGGGTATCATGGGCGAAACAGTATACTCTGTTATGTCCATGGTACTGCTCATGTCTATAGGCGACGGTTACCACTTTACATCAGGTGTACCGTCAGCTTGTTTGCCATTCTAAGTTGTATAAAAAAAACAATATATACCTAAGTGCTTTACACTAGCATTGTCACACACATTGTTTCCTTCATTTGTTCGGTTTGAATAGACTTCACGGTAACAGTACCCAGTTTTGAAAAAAAAGGCAGTCAAAATTACTTTCAAGTTTTCATACAAAAAAACCCTAATAAATAAATAAATTTTAACAGACAATTATTTACACAATATATTTAATAATAATACACAAACACAATTTTTTTTTTTTATTATCTATTTTAATTTATATTTTTAAGTAAATTCACCAAACATTGAACTACAATCTAATGCAGTACAAATAAACTCTGAAACTGATGATACATTCCAAATGACACTAGAATATTTTGTTAACCTTTAACCCACTAACAAACCTTACATACCTAAACAAAAAGCAACTTAAACAACTTAAGGGGAAGGGATTGTTAGTAATGAAGACTAAGGGCCCCATTGCTAGCTCTGATTATAGATTGTTATACCCAACCAGGTCGACCCCGTGGTCCCCCTGGAAACCACCGTGCTGAATTCCAAGCATATTCATCATGATGGGCTAACTGACCTGCCTTTTCATTCTCACCTATCACCCCTCACTGGTGCCCCGCCAGCGTATACCGTTAGCGCAGACGGGATCACCATTCCATTATCATCCAGTAAAAAAAAAAACAAAAGCAACAGAAGAATAACAAAATTCATAAATATTGGTACTAATTTTGATAAACTACACGGAATAATCTACTGTTCAGCAAGGACGGCATCATCATCATATCAGCCTTTAACTGTCCACTGCTGGACATAAGTCTCCCCTTTGGAGGGTTTTGCCAGTAGTTGTCACGCTTTACAGACGGATTGGCAACCGCAGTTAGAATTTTAGAGATGTTTTAAGAGGAATGCTGCTGCCCATCTCTCGTTCTCTTTAGTCGCCTCTTACGACACCCACGGGAAATGAAGGGATGGCCTATTCCATGCCGGGACCACATGGCTAAAAAAAAGCAGCAAAAATAAATGGTACCAAATTAAGAAATCCGCCGTCAGGTGGGTTACGAACAAAACAAAATTCATCAAATCTGCAATGGCAAAAAAGAAGATAAAATGGAAGATCTGAGGCTAAAAGTTAGTAATCGATCTAAACATATACATCAGACAAAAACAAAAAAATCGTTCTTTATTATATTCAAACTCAGGTTTTTTTATACCACTAAAGTGTCAAACAAGTATACGGCCCACCTGATGAGAAGCGGTTACCGTAGCCTATGAACGCCTGCAATACTAGAGGTATTACGCGCGCGTTGCTGACTCCGAACAAGTTAAACATTAAAATACAATTACATTCACGTAAAACAATGAAATGTATAAATTCCTATGCAATTTCTATTGTAACTTATTTATTTGGTATTATACATTGGACAAAAAAAGACAAATTATTAGAACTATTGAGGAAAGAAGGGGAAAAATGTTAGGACACTTGATACGACACGACGAACTTATGAACATTATAATAGAAGGTAAGATAGAAGGAAGAAGGGGGAGAGGGAGACCGAGACATAGTTACATCAGGCAGATCAAGGAAGGAGTTGGTGTCGTGTCGTATCAAGAGGTGAAGAGACTCGCTGAAAATCTTAGTGAGTGGCAAGAGCTCCACCGACAAGAGTGTAGCTCTTAAATAGGATAAAATAGAATATACATTGGGCAAAAACAGTTCTTAAATCCCTTCAACGCAATATTAGTACATCAATGACGAGACATAAAAAACCCCATCTGCGATCATGTGTTCAAAGACTGACATTACCCCGCAGAAATGGAGATAAGGGATTCATCATCATATCAGCTTTTTCGTTCAAAACTACCTGAACGTGAATCTTAGAGTAAAATTTTGGAACCCTGATACTGTCAAAATTAGATAGAGTTATAGGTCTTTTTGGACATTCCAAGAAACAACAACGAGTACAAAATGCTTGTGTTCGATTTTGTATCCCTGTCCATCGCAGTTCTTAGGGCTCATGTAATGTCATTTCCTAATAAGAGAAATTTTATGAACATGGTTTCCAGGCGTAGACTCTATTATAATTGTTAATTATTCGGCATTATACGTATACAATTACCAACATATTTATTTGGTAAATTATCATTTTCCCAATGTAAAGTCAGACTTGTACCTTATCTGGCTTACCCGAGACATCGTACAGCAGCATTTCATGGCAGTTTTTGTTACTGCTACGAAGTGCTGAAAGAATATACCCTTCACCTTTTAAAAACTGTCTACTTTTGTTCCTTTAGATATAATTATAGAAAGTATCTCCTAGATATCACGGGCGAAACAGTATACTCTGTTATGTCCATGGTACTGCTCATGTCTATAGGCGACGGTTACCACTTTCCATCAGGTGGGCCGTCAGCTTGTTCGCCATTTTAAGTTGTATAAAAAAAAATACAGAAACAATATTAAGCAGTTTCTGCAACACCGATAACTGACGACTATTTCGGTTCACTTCACCGATAAATACGAATCTGTAGATTCGTGTTTTCTTTTTACCATATCACACCATTAAATTTGCAAGATCACACAACACAAAATAATAATAATAATAATAAACAGGTTTATTTCTCTTCACAATTCATTACAGTGAAATACAATGCTTATATTAATCAAATTATAAATATAATTGTGAGAGACTGGTGCCTGAGATAGGTATAAGAATACCTGTATTACAGGTCACCAGGGTCTCACTCCGCAGGGTTACTTACTAAGCACTTGTAATATAATAAGTGAATTCAATGTAATAAATATAATTTATAGGAAGAGATAAATAATTATAATTTAATCTGGAAGTTGTGTGTGTGTGTGTGTGCGTGGGTGTGTGCGCGCGCGCTTGTGTGTGTGTGCGACTATGTGTGCGTGTATGTATACGTGTGTCTGTAGGTGCATGCGTGTCTCTC